GTGCTTTACCTTATTGTCCTAATTTGTTGCAGAATAATCACCTAAAAAAGGTTTTGAGTGTTATTATTCAACATATATTATAAAACCTGTAAGTAGTACAACTGTTCCAAATTCAGAGACTGTGATCTTTGATGAGCCTGTTTGACATGAATCCAGTTTAGAATTATTCATAAAAAGTGTTCAGCTTGGGAATTCATTTCGATTCTGTTGTCCTTCTACTGCAGCCACACATAAACAAACACAAACATGTTTTCCACACGAACAGAAATGCAGAATGTGGTCATGCATCTTTATAAGGTTTACGGTTGGACTACAGACGTTTGGTTAGACAATTAAAGAAAATAAGAAGATTAACAGAAAGAAGGGAATGAATATGACTGAATTCTCTGAACTTTGAATATTAGAAAACCATGTTATGCTAATAATATTGGTAAATATTGTCAGGCCCATTTTATTTTTTCCTCTCTTTCTCACATATGCTTCCATCTTTCTGTGACCTTTAAACTTGTGGCTAATTCCATCAATGTCTGGTGTGAGCATTTGCTGCATTCAGACTCTGGTAAAATATTATATTAGTATGAAACATGAAAAGTTTATCACACATGAATATATTCGCCAACAAGTATTAGACTCCAAAAAGTCCTTTCCAATATTAATATTGCACACTCTGATATTGTGATGATATTATAGCTGCAAAATATTGTGCAGCCTTCATTTCTTTCTCTTATCAATGATTTAACGTAATTTAAAAGTATTCTGCTCAACTGTAAGGAAATGTGGTGATTTGGCTGCAGCTCCTGCAGACTAGCGGCAGCAGCAATTAGCAATCACCTGGTGGAACCGCACATCTGCTGAGCTTAACATACAAACTACAACACTCCTAAGAACGTTTGTAAACGACATCAATGAGAAGCATTGTTGTGATGATGTGCTGAAGGGGGGAGTGCTGGAAAGAGTAGAAGCCTCTTAAAGAGACAGAGACCAATTTTAAGCCGTCAGACATGGCAATTCTTTTAAGTTATTTTTGATATATTTTTATATCAAAAATATTTTTTAAGCATTTTCTTGATTGTTACTTGACTGTGCTAAAAAATACATAATACTTCCCTGTTAAGTAATTGATGGTAGTCACTGATTTGGTTTGTTCTGTCATTGATTAATGTAAGCACAATTTAATCAGGTCAACAAATCTAATTGTTTTGCTAAAACATATTGAATAAAAGAAAATTGAATGAATATCCAGAGAACAATGTGGAAACATAAAATAACTGAAAAACCTTTTACCTGAACAGATCAATCAAGAGGATCTCTGTAACAGTGAATGCTAAACTTTTAGATAACTGATTTGGTTTTATAGTGTAAGTAAAACATAAAACCCGAACTGTATTTTGGGTGTAGCAAAGCAAAGTCTTTCTTGAGCCCAAATAATTGTTGCTACAAATATTTTCTTCTTTTAATATTGGATGTTCTACTTTGCTAACTCTGCATAAAATATTAGCTTAGACCAGCTGAAGACAAAACATGACATAAATATGCGAACCAAACTGCAAAAGCAATGGAGTCGTAAAGATGTACTGTTTAGAGTTTTGTAGCTAATTTCAAATATCCACATAATTTTTAAACATTGACCTGCTGGAATGGATTGCAGACACATCGTCACTCTGTGTGTATGCTATAAAACGAGGCTTTACAATATGAAAGGATCAAATTAATACAGATCATATTGTTGCAGTGACTGAAACCACAGTGTTTGTTTTTAACAGAATGTAAACCTTTACCTCAACTCAGCTGCAACCTTCCTGTTCTCCTCTTTAGTGTGGCTTTTTGTTCCAACCTGAAAAAAAAAAAAAAAAGACAAGCATCAGAATAATGTAAAAAAAAAAAAAAAAAAACTGAAAATCACACAATTCCAGTGATTGGCCAAGTTGTATCTCTAGTTTCAAGGTACCTTAGATGACTTTTGTTTTAATATTATAATTTAAAATTAATAATTTTTCTATTTTTAAAATCATTTTACTGATAACTCACTGTAAAATACAGATACAAACAGCAGAATTTATTAAGGCATAGATTATTATTTGGGCCAATCACCATATTGTCCAAAACTTAAATTTTTGCTTGTTATAATGTTAGCATAGAACCCAACAGGGCCTAAAATGATTTATTGTATAAAGCTTTATTTTGAACTTTTGACATGGATTAGGCAGTGTTTACTGTAAGTGACCTGATGATATTTATTCTATCAGTAAAGCCAATGGAAACTGTGTTCTAACAACCGGTAGGAAGGCCAGCGGCAGCTTACAGGTGCTTTGCGACTCTTAAGTCAAATTAATCTGTTGAAAGCCTTAGCGTGCGCTGGAACACAGGTTTGTGTACATCAGGTGTTTACTGTCGTACTTATGGAGGTTCTTTAATTAAATACTAAGACTAATATAAACATAGTTTTCCAAACTGCCATGTTTAATATCTTGTTGCTGAATGCAAAGTGCTGATACCCAATGCATCTTCTCAAAGTGCTAATTATTTGAGAGTCCCTCACTGGCTTCCACTAGAGCCAAATGTTCAGTATTGGGCATTTTCAACAACATTACCACAAGTAATACCACAACAAGTTTTATATAAAATAATAGTAAATAATTCAAATCTCTCATGTCTTTTAATTCCCAGGCCTTCAGGACAATCCTTGGTTCTGTGACTGTAAAATCTCCAAGCTGATTGAGATTTCCAAAATGGCTGACACCCCAGTGATCTTGATGGATTTATTTTTGACCTGTGCCACACCGGATAATCTAGCCGGTGTCCTTTTTCAGCGTGCTGAACTTGAGAATTGTGTGAAACCATCAGTGATGACCTCTGCAACCAAGATTACTTCGACGTTAGGCAGCAATGTCCTGTTGCGATGTGATGCCTCAGGATCTCCGACTCCAGCTCTTTATTGGACCAAATCAGACGGCTCTCCAGTCAACAACACAGGTAAAAGAAAATGCTTTTTTTGAGAAAATATAAATTACATTTGTGATTAGTAAAAGGTGGGTGGAAGACTTCAGTAACTCCAAACTTTTAATGACTGCTTTCGTTTTGCTCCACCATTCAGTTCAGGAGTCACCCGGGGAAGGCATTAACTGGTCCATCATGAGCTTGCATGGAATCGAACATAAAGATGCTGGGAACTACAGCTGCAAAGCAAAGAATGTTGCTGGTACTGCGATAGCAACCATTTCTTTAACGGTGGCTGGTGCCATGAGCACCACTGCTCCACCAGTACGACCCAGCGTCGGAACTGGACCAACCAGCCAAGGCACAGCGATCACTCCTCCGATTGACATTTCTAAATCACCGCTCACTGCACCAACAGCCCTTCCTGGATCACTAACAACACCTTCTGCTGCCCAAAAGCCACCCAAGCCAATCTCTGGCAACAGTTCTCAGAAAGGTTCGCTCAAAGAGGCCAAAAACCAGCAAGGAGGCAAAAAATTAGCAGCGGATGAGAAAAGCAAGAAAACCGACAGCTCAAGAGGTCTCAAAGACCTGGAGATTGTAGAGCAGACAGCTGACAGTGCAGTGCTGCTCTGGACTGCAGGTGGATTGCTAAATGATGCCCCACTGACTGTTGTGTATTCACCATATGGGGAGGATGACAGTAAGAGGACGATGGAGACCAAAGCTGGGAGTGGAAAAGTGCTTCTTGACGGACTGTCTCCTGGAATGAGGTACTCAGTTTGCCTTGTAGCAAAAGGTAGCACCACTGGAAAAGATCCTTGCATTGACTTCTACACAGAAGACGGCGGGCAGAACATACTTTTCTTTATCGTAAGCAGTATCGCCTGCGTTTTGGTTTTGCCTCTAATTGCTCTGCTCATCTACAAAATTCTTGCCCTTTATTGCAAGGGAAGCAACACGTCTTTGGATACAAATGAGCTGGAAAAAGAAAGCTATGTCAAATTTGAGACAATCTCAATGAAACAAAGAACTCTGAACTCGCACCCAACTGAACTCTGGGCAAGAAGACCAACGAATGAATCTGAGCGTCTGTTGTTGTGCTCCCGGTCAAGCATCGACTCTCAGATGACCTACAAGAGCGACGGCTCTCGCTCTGAGTATCTCTGCTGATGTCAACATACATTGCCAATAATTTAACTCCATGCTCATGCATCTGCCTTTCAATGTTCTGAAGAAAATGACTAAGAAATTATACATGTCTTTTTTTATTAATGGTGTATAAAGGATGATTGTGATGTACTGAGAATTGTTCCTCTTTAACCTTTTAGAAAAGTGTGAAATGGATCACAACAACCCCCTTTATCCTGTTTCTGAGCCTTATACTTCATACAGAAATTATGCAGACATCTGAGATTATACATTTATCAGGGAATAGTGATGTTGTCTTCGATGCCAAAACCATAAGGTTGGAATATAGTGGTGATCTCAGAGAAGACCCATAATATTCTCCAATACATCATAGTTGCTGTAAGGATCCAGCAGATCGTTGCCTTTCTAAACACAGAAGTACAGTACTGTTCGTGTGTTTGATAGAACACTATGTGAATCATTTGATGAATGTTGCCACATTATATTTTCACTTGTAAATAAATGTTTGCTTTGAATGTAAGAACTATTATATGACTTACTTGCATGGTATTCCCATAGAAAAATATTGTAAAATAATTTTATAAACTCAGAGGAGCATTTAGAGAAAACACATCTAAAACCTTTCAGTTACTGTTTTAAAACAACATATTGACTTGAGCTTTTTGGTTTTATGATGAAACTATGAACTTACATCATAGTTTAATCGAGTAGCCAATGTCACAAGTTTGTTTTAATGCTTGTTTTAAGCTGGAATGTTTGGGAACCTCTGTTCATTTAGTCCTTAATATTAAATACAACACAACTGAATGAATGAGTTACTAAATAGGAACATTTTCAACAACCAGGTCAAGATCTTTGAAGAAAATAAATAACTGAGTAATAAAAATCTTTAAAGATCTGAAGTAAAACTGGAAGGACTTCAGATGGAATGATGATTCCACAATATTCTGCAAGAACAGCATTTATTCTTCAATTGGTTCTGTTTGTAAAAAGATCCTCCGTTTTACTTATTTTGCTCAAAATCTCACTTTTCTACCTTCCGAAGTACTTGTTTATGGAGTATAAAGCTTATTGCTTATCAACATATATCCTCTACCTGCTGATTCAACTCATGCATAGCTCTGACTAAACTGGCGACTCATTTTGGTGTCTGATTACCAGCATTAACATTTTTATTATCCGTCTGGGGTGAAACGCTGAACAAAGGTCAGTGACCTGCAGACTGGAGACAAGACAACTTTCTCAGCAGCGTAAATCGTCTGCTCCTCTACAAGGTTACCAGTGGTGATGCTGGTTCTAACAATATCCCAGTCATGGAGAGCATGAATAGAGGCCGTGGTCCCCGGCCGGTGACAAACAATTTAAGGATAATCTGTTCAACTGGGACAGCGTTCTCTAGAAATGAGTCATTATGTCAATTCCTGCTGGGAGCCAGATGAACCTCCACAGGAGATAAGCTGACTTTTCATTCACACACCAACCCAAAACAAAGTGCTCACTGTGTTTTAGCTTGTGTAAAATGTTAAATGCACATTTACTGTATGTTGGTTTCACACACTGAAAAACAAAACATTCATTTTGCACTGGAGTTAAGTATGACAATTCTTAGGATTCCCACAGCCGAGTAAATAAGGCCCATTTCCCCTATTTTTCCTCAAAAACACCCATTTCCGTTTAACAAGGATCAGACCTGTGGGTGGGGAAGGAGAGCAATACGTTGCTGGGACCTTTTTTCAGATCAGTTTAGAGCAAATCTTGCTACAATGCTGGACTAGATGTGCAAAATCTGCCACTGGAGTGTCAGGAATTTCAAGCTTTGCTTCCAAAAGAGACGCAGTCAGAAGCCTGAAAGTGGGGAGAGAGCTGGACCCCACACACGTTTTTTTTTGTTTTTTTTTTCTAAGTGTAAAGCTGCAGTCAGAGTGTTGCTGTTCTTCCTGAGAAGCCTGCAGTCTTCTCAGATGGGTCCTGCATCCCCCAGCAGGACATCTGCTGGTAGGCAACGCTCCCTCTTGGTTTCAGCCTCGGACAAGGATGCCAAGAACACAGAAGAAAACTTTGCTCGGGTTTTGGGAATTCTTGTGTGCCAGTGATGACAGTGGAAATGCCTGAATCAAAGTGAGCAGGTGCATCAGGAACAGAACACAGGATTATGCTGGCTGCAATGATTAAAACAGCACTGGTCTTCTTTTTGGTGCAAAGCACTGGAAACTTGGCGCTCAGCGCAGCGTGTTGGGATGGACGCCTTTCAGGATCGGGAAGAAACAGCAGCTGCACGCGTGAGTTTATGACATAAACCTCTGACTCTAAAGGAACTGCTGGGTGCATTTTACCTGAAACAGCTCCAGACAAGCTCAAATTATTCTCATTTCTTTCATCATTCTTCAAAAACTAATTTAATGACTGCACAAGAAATGTGGATTTTACTTTAGAATAATGAAGTGCCTACCTAATGAACATAAACACATGTATTTGACAAAACAGAATAATTATTCTAGATCTAGCTGAGATATGAAACATTACCGAGATTACAGAGTATTGTGCAATTGTGAATAAAAAACTACTTTTCCTCCAGATTTCTGATGGTAGCATGTAATATTAGGAAACAGATGCTTCTAAAAATAATTTGTCTACATAAAGAATAGTATAAAGATAACAGAAAGGGCCGTCACCTTCTGAAACATGATGAAGATCCAGTAAACTTCACCAAATGTTCAGTCAGACAGCAGACTGTCCTGTGGGTGGATTCAGCCTGAGTTGTTGGCAGAGCCACATGTTTACAGATGCTGAAACCCAAATGGTCCACTTTAGTTTACCAGCACACACTGTTTATCACAAACTGTCATAAAAATATATGCATTTAAAAAAAATGTTTTAAATGCTAGTAAAGATTTTGTCAAAAACAAATAATTTATATTCAGTTTTTTTTCCTCTGAATATACAAACTACAGGTTTTCATCCATCAGATGATGCTACTACAGTACAAAAATGATGGAAACTATTTTACTCATCTCATGAGTAAATAGTGGGAGTTAATTTGTATATAATATTAATTATAAAAACTTTACATAACATGTTATGTAGAGACATAATATAGAGACTTAAAGTTACTAAAAGTATTATTTTATTAAAAGTTCAAAATATAAAATAATTTTCAACACCAATAATTTTCAAATAAACAAGTATGAATGCATGTTTCCTTTGGCTGAAGAACGTGGGAAATGAATAATGAAAAAAAAATCACCACAATATTTTTGTAAACTTAAATCCTCCTGGCTACGCTGCAAAACCGAACTATGTCCAATAAAGTATCACAGCATTTCTTATCTGAATCAAAAATCCTTTGGAGCATCTTGTGAACTTCTGAATTCATCAAGATGAACCAGTGAACACTGGTCCCAGTGATGACTGGGACCAGACGTTCTGGTACGTTGTTTGTCTGGTGAAACTCATTGTTGTCATCATTCCACTGAGTTAGCAGCAGTGTCTATGGACGCACATGACACCGTTACAAAAGAAGACTTTCTGACAGCGGATATTTAAATAAAGACGGCATTTTGTCATGGTTTTTATTTTTTATTTAAGTAGATCTGCAGAGTTTTGGAAAGGAACTCAGGTCTCTGTTATCTAAAGCAGCCATAAAGTGTGACTGCACTGCGGTTCATTCAAGGTTCAGAGAAAGAGCTGCTCGTTGCTAAGGGACGATGTTTTATCCAGAAGCAGCTGAAAAGACATTTTAATAATTTGACAAGTTAACAGCAGTGTGACAAAGAGCGACTATGAAGTATAGAAACTTCCTCTTTGTGGGTGAAAACATGAGGACAAGACAGCAACTTTAGGCAGTTAAGAACTATTTGCTTGCACAAAAATCATTTTACTCTCAGATACTAAAACCACAGATATTTTCATGTAGTACGATGCTTCAACTGGAGTATTGTACATCTTAAGACCCTTGGAAAGAAATTTTTAAAAAGCATCAGCAAAGATTTGTCTCTGGTTTCTTTAAGCCTCTCAGCCTTTCCTCCTGTTTGGTCATGGCAAATCAATCCATCGGATGAGCCTGGATGGAAAGAACCACAGACGGCTTGCTGCTGGAACAGGAAGCTCCATTCTTCTCGATTTTCATTTCAGAGAAGAGAGACTTTACTGGGCCGACAGGCGCACCGGCATCATCTACAAAGCATCGGTGCAAGGAGCACACAGACAGGTGATTATGCAAAAATGCTCCAGAGCATTTTACTAAAACTTAGAAATCTGGAGCGGATCCTTTGCTTTGTGTGAGTATTTAAGATGAAGTCTACAAAGCCTGAGGTTTGACAATTTTAGAGGTTTAGTACAAGTTTTATTTCTCTACATCCAGACTCAGAAATGAACAGCCATCCCCTTCAAAGTCTGGATAATTATCCCTCTGTGGGACGGAGAGAAACCACAGACTTTCAGTTATTACTGGAATTATTATATCTTAATATTTTACCACTTTTCTCACCAAACTTGCAGTAGTGTTGCAGTCAGATTATTCCAGAAGCTTTATCCATTGCAAAACCAGTTCTAATGTGTCCAGTTGGACAACAGTGACCAAGTTTGAAAAATCTGGAGGTCATCCTCTTTCTTTATTGGTCTGTTCACTTTGTGTAATGCACCAGTGTCATACCAGTTTGAAGATCAGAGTTTCCCAAATCATGTACTGTCAGAGGATTTTGATTACAGGTATTTAAATTAATGTTTATTTTGCAGAAACTGTATTCATCTGACAAACACATCTCTGGGCTCACAGTGGACTGGGTTGGGAACGGAGTATTCTGGACGAGCAGCAGGAAGGGTCAAATCAAGAAAATGGATTTAAATGGAAAAAATGAGAGGACAATTTTAAGACATTTGTCTCAACCAAGCTTTATAAATGTTGATCCCACCCACAGGTAAATGATCCAATTACAAAGAAACCATGATTTTTGTTGGCACAGATTAACAGAAATAATTAGTTAATGTTTCGACTGGAGTCAGATTTCTCCAGTATGATTTGTGTGAAAAATAAAAAATAAACTTGGCATAATCATGTGATAAAGTTAGATGAAAAACATTTCAGAATATATATGAACAAATTCCAAAATGTTTTCAGGTTTTTGTTTTGGCTGTCTGGTGGATCAGAAATCCAGCGATCTGATCTCTCAGGTCAAATGAAAATGACGGTTTTAAAGCTGGAGGAGCAACTTGAGGTTCTGTCGGTCGACCAAGAAGACAAGCGGTTGTTCTGGGTTCAGCTCGGTCTCCAAGGAGAGCGACTCTTTGCTTCCTGTGATTACAGTGGGAATTCACTGCACATCATCGACCTGCCACTTCAGTAAACAAGCCTCCTGTCTGATCAGTTCTTCATTAATCTGTCTTGGTAAATCTGCAATGATGCTAATCTTTAATAATATCATGTTAACATATTCTTTCAGGTCTCAGTCACTTGGAATATCTGTTTTTCTGGAGAACGTTTATTACACTGATGCTGCAGCCGGTGTTATAAGAAAAATAAACAAATACACCGGAGGACGACCGGTGGATGTTAATGATAAACCGATGGTCAAACCTCCAGTGGACATAAAGGTGGTCCATCCCCTCATCCAGCCAATGGCAGATACTTCCTCACCATTTCCAGGTTGCTTCATTTATGTAATCTTCTTTTTTAGTTTCTCCACATTTAAATAAGTAAATAAGCTTCAGTGATAAATGTCATTTCGTCAAACAGGCTGCAATGACCAAAGTGGAAGCTGTGTGAATGTGTGTTCCCGTTTAGAGGAGCTTGGGGTTTGCCAGTGCTCTGAAGGCTTTGCTCTCAGTAACCATGGCACTCACTGTGAAGGTAACTCAATGTTCAACAACAGACCCATCATGGTTGTTGTTACAAATCTTCAGTTTACATCTGATTTATCTATTGTAAAAGTCAAATGCTCATAAAACCAAAAATCTTTAATGTTTACAATCAATGCATGAAAAGAAATTGCGGATACTGTATGACTGAAATAATAATCTTGTCTTTTTGTGGCATAGATGTGAATGAATGTGCCCACTGGAACCACGGCTGCTCTCTTGGCTGTGAAAACATCCCAGGCTCATATTTCTGCACCTGCCCCAAAGGATACACCCTCCTGCCAGACGGGAGGACGTGCCAAGGTACCGAACAAACATACACATCATTTTATATTCACAGTTTCATTCAGAACACAAATAAAACATTTGGCTACAGAAAATATGTATGCAAATAAAAAAAGATTTGCTCACTCACAATTTGCTTAGTCACATTAAATGTCCAAACTTAAAATTTGAAAGGATGACCTGAGTAATTATAAGGAACTTTTGAAAAAAAAAAAAAAAAAAAAAAAAAAAAAAAAAAAAAACACAGGTTTCTAGTGGCCTAGTCAAAGTTCAGACTTCTGAAGCTGTGATATGAGCTTAAACAGACTTTTAAAGCTTAGGAAATATCTTAATGTTAGAAAACTTTTCAATGTTGCTGAATTAAAACAGATAAGGAGAGAAGAATGGCCTGAAATTCTCCCATAGTAAAATAAAAGATTCATTGCCAGTTGTTGCAAATGCCTGGTGACAGTTCTTTATTTTTTTACACAGTGCTAACATGGTCTGGATAGATTTTGCCTTAATAAATGATGTTATCATTTGAAATCATCTGATATTAAAAGTAGTTTGATGATCAGATAGATGAAAGTGTGACAAAAAAGCAAAAACAAAAAGAATCTGCAAAAGGGCGAAGACTTTTGCAACAATGTCATCACTGGAATGTGATGCATCCATTCTTAGATGAAAATTTAAAAGCTGGCATAGCAACCAATGCTGTCTGTGCTGCAGATGGAGCTGAGAATGAACCATGCAAAGTTTTACAAACCAGAGCAAAGCAGACAACAGAAACAGGCAGTGTTCCCCGTGTGATGGGCCAGTATTAGCAGATAAAACTGCCTGTGTGCTATATCGGTCCGACTCTACTCCTAATCTCTTCTTCCCTAATCTCGCTGCACAATAGGAGAGGTTCCCAGGCACAATGGGATTAGACAGTGAGGTGACATTTGCAGTAAGGAACATATCTTGTCAGCAGCTTTGGCTGTTGAAGGTATTTAGTGGACAACCTTTGCCAAGGTCCAGTGGAGAAGAAACATGTGATCAAGCAACATGTTAGACAATAGAGATGAGAGCAGAGATTACAAGGAGGAAGCACAACAATGCAGCTTCATCATGTTGGTTTTATGCAAAATTCAAACTTTCAAAAACAATATAGCAGTTTACCACATCCTAAATCTAACCCTCCAAAATGTCAAGAGCATTTGCCACAGAAACAATTTTCAGCAGAAGGAATTTAACTTTCCACAACAGAATCGCAGCCTGCCTCGACATCTCTCACCCACTTTCACTCGTTCTCTTGTGAGCTAACATTACATCACTCTGTGTGTGTGAGCTTCTCACACTTTCTACTATTTTAATGGGCTTAGACCTGATTTCATAAAGGGATTTCACCAGAGCGGGCCCTAAGGAGCTTGATGTCCATCCAGCTCATCTTCCACCAGCGAGGCCCTAAAATAGGCTGAAAAGTCTTAAACATGCAACATTTTAAACCTCTGCATATTTATTCCAAGCCTGTTCTGATGTTAATCTGAGCTGTTTGTTATTAAATTGCTTTTGCAGAAATAACACCATGTGGTGGCATCATGAAGTGTGGACATGGTTGCATAGCAACAGAACATGGGGCCGTGTGTGTTTGTCCTGAGGGATCCGTTCTACAGGAGGATGGACACACTTGCACCGGTACTGACAATATGACACCGATCAGGTCCAGTTTAGAAACTTTAGGTCCAGTAATCTATGACAAGTATTTGTTGAAGAACTTACCCAGCAGGTGACGTGTGGGTCGGGGGTTCCCAAACGGCTTCTAGGTCAGGAAACTTTTAGAAGCTTTTTTGTACTTTATTCGCTATTCCATAATTATTATATTCATTTAGCATAAATGCTACCTCATCCCTCCTGATATTAGTTTCCCATGAGTTTTTAGGTATTTTGCTCCACAGCAGGGCTCCTGCTGTTTCTTTGGTCGTTTTCATGTCAGAAACTTTGTCTGTTTCACGTTTGCTTCATTAGCCTGAGGAGGAAAACAGAAAAATGGACAATTTATTTTAACTTTTTATTTTATAATAATGATTGAAATACAGATTAGATTTAAAAAATATATAATTAAACATGTATGATAAAACAATGTGTAAGCTTCAATTTTTTATCTATTTTTTTCCCCTTTTCATCTTCCCCCAATTTATGAGGCCTCTCTAGCGCCCCCTGGCGGCCCTCACTTTAGAAAACATTGTTGGGTCATGGATTACCGTAGTTGGTTTCATAAAAGGCTCACAGTTTTGAAAAGTAATTAGCCATAAAGTAGTGAACATCATTTTAAAAAAACAACTTAAGATTTAAGCTTAATAAAAAGAAGTAAATATTTATATGAAGTTTGGCGTTCATCAGGGTCGATTCTAAATGCTTCAGTAGATCAAAGCGGACATTGAAGAAATTTTTCTCTCAACCAGAATATTTGTTCAGTTCTTAACATGGTTGGAAGTAACAGGCATTTAACTGGTACATATACAAACAGATGGTCCAACACAGAAGAGCAAAAGAATCAGAAGTTCAGTTACAGCTTAAAAACAAGAGACTTGATAACAATGTGAATATTTGGGACAGAGAAGACAGGAGGCTTAGAGGGATGAAAGGAGACATTAATGGTAAACATGAATAAACAAGACCAAAAGAAGCGACTTCAGATTTCATCTTTCCAACACCTACTCTGCAGCTCTAACTCGTCTTCCCAGGCGGCTTTACAACATTTCAAATCTTGTTACCAAAACAAATCACAAGGCATCTTCAGGGGAACATTCAGATCATCAGACAACGACCCAAACACTGAGCTGATAACAGGTAGGACTATTTCTCAGTGTCCTAAGTGACACATGGTCCTATTACTGTGATTGTTCTGATAACATATAATACTTTTACTTCTAACCATTTTCAGAACAGAAGCTTTTTGGATGGGAGGTGAAACATTTTGAAGACATAAGAGGTCCAGTTGCCTTCTATTTTAGCGCTTGGGATTATTTCAGCTTCCTCTTTATTTCTCCTTTGTTTTACCTCATATTTTTTTCCTGCTTCTTTTAACAAGCTGATTGCTTGAATAATCAGCTTGTTAAAGTAACTCAGGAGAATGTATTGAAAAACAAAAGCATTTTTTATATGATCCACAGGGGCCTTTTGATCATTTTGCTCTTTTTAACGATTTGACTCTTTACTGAAACCAACAAGCCTCATCACAGCTGAGCCTCAAATCTTAAAACAAGAAACCAAAAAGCTGGCCAATCTCATTTAGACAGAACAGAAACAAACTTCTGGTCTTCTTGTCTTCCTGCTGTGAGCAATTATTAATTATTCATGGCAGAAGCAGAAGTGAAGTCGGCCACTGAGTGCAGTGGCTGTAAAACACAGCTTTACTATTTTAAAACAAAGTGAACATTATAAAACCAGAAGCCTCTCTGTGATTTCTGAAAGGCTGCAAACATCTTTAAATCAGCACTTTTCATGACTGGTAAAGAATGAAAGGTAAAAAAGATTAAATCAAATTTACTGCACTTCATTAAGACTTCCTGTTATCAGCTTTATATCAAGCTTCGTACCCTGAAGGAAGTCTTGCAGAAAATTATTTCCTCATAAATCTTAACTGTGACTTTATTTTTGCAGATCCAGGTTAGTAAAAATAAAATGTCCACTCCAAAGAGTGTAGTTCTTAGTAGAAGCTGGTAATGTTTAATATCAGATGCAATTAGCATTCACTGGAGAAAAAAAAGTTTGCGACAAGAGGGTTAAAGGTGCAAATAATTACATTCAGCAAGCTTTGAGACTGCAAACTCAGTAATTTGTATTTTTTTAGCCATTTATTTAAATGAATTGTGGCCAGAAGTACAACACAAGGCTGCATTGACTTCACACAAAAAATGTTGCAAACAAAAGATCAGACTTTCATTTTTTTAATAAACCTTTCACTATACCAAAAGGAATACTGGGACAAATGATAGAAAACACAATGTCCAATAAGTTTTCTATTGCTGTCAATTGTGAAAACTGATGCAGTTATAAAGAGAATTCATGAAATTATTGGAAAGATATTGTCAGAAGCAGAGTGTAAATCTGGATCTGTGTTATTAACGCTGATCTCCAGGTTGCTCTTCAGCAGACAGAGGTGGCTGCAGTCAGCTCTGTTCCTCCATCACCCCGAGTCGCTGGGAGTGTGGATGTCTTCCTGGGTACAGGCTCCATCAAGATGGCAAACGCTGCATTGCAACTGGTGAGTCACTGCAGCAAAGCAGGCAGCAGAGTCAGAGCAGCCCACACAGAAGCTCTCCTTTAATGCATGCATATCACTGCCCACATCTTTTTCTGCCATGCATCTAATTATAAAGTGCTATATTCTTTTGTTCAGGACCTCCTGCCTTTCTAATTGTGGCCAATCTGATGGATGTGAGAAGAATGAACCCAGATGGGACGGAGGAACAAACTCTGGTGAAGGAACCCAGAGGAACAATCTTAGCTCTGGACTTTGACCCCGTCTACCACCGTGTAAAACTTCATCTGTTTTCCTGCACATTTTGTTTTTATTCACAGCTTAGCAAACATAAGGTTCCACTGCACTCTTACGAGATGTCTTGGCATGCAGTGCCATCTAGTGGTCATTTGTGACTTGCTTTGTTTATTCTCTACATCTCAATGACATTTCTCTTTTAACAAAATTGGGATGAATTTCAAGGTCTACTTTGCCAGCATCAGCCAGAGGACAATAGAGCGGGTTGATCTGAACACTGGCTCAAGAGAAGTTCTGATCTCTGATGGTTTGGACTCTCCAGAAGGACTGGCAATCGATTGGGTCCACCACAGGATGTACTGGACCGATAGAAGGTGAGCAGTGTTTGGTAAAACTGTAGGAATTTTACTGAGAAAAATAAATTAATGCTGGCAGAAAGTTGGTTGTTGCTATACAGTTTAACACCGAGCCATTTTAGGAGTTGTGAGAATTAAGTATCTATTGTCTTTGCTCTGCAGCAAGTCAGCTGTTGACTGCAGTACATTAGATGGACTGAAGAGGAAAACTGTTGTGAAAGAAGGGCTGGAAGAACCAAGAGGAATTGCGGTTCATCCCCAAGCGAAGTGAGTTAAACTGATTTTGTTTTTCCCAACAATAGAAACTAAAAAACTAGATATAGACTTATAGACTTTGATTTTGACCTTTAATACAAATCTAAAAAGAAACAACTCCCAAAGCCCATTGCTAAAGGAGTGTGAAAACTTCTCTATTAACATGAAACCTGAAATTTGTATTTTCCCTGTTGGATCACCTACTTCTGGAGGAAGTTATTCTGGACAGACACCGGCGCTCAGCCTGTGGTAGAAAGCGCCACTCTGGAGGGAAGCAGCCGTGTGATCATTGCCAGCACCGGCCTCATGTCTCCCACTGGGCTGACCATCGACTTCACTGATGATCGACTCTTCTGGTGCGACCAGAAGAGGGGCCTGATAGAAACAGCTGCTTTGGATGGTTCTGATCGACGGGTCCTAATGGAGAACCAAGTAGGTGAGGTTTGTTTGAAGCACCTATGCAACAAAATTAGACATCTGTATACAGATGATTCAGTTCATTATAATGAACTGAATTATAAAACCAAAACAGAAATGCGTGTTACAGATAAGGTTGTGGTATGAAAAATTAGAATGAAAATTATCAGGAAAAATCTGCAGTCATCTACCACTGATGCTGAGCAAAAACAAGGAAATTATATCTTGTTGTTTAAGGCAGTCTAAATGTATAAAGCATATCAACAGAGCAACAAAAGGTGAATATACTTTAAAAATCTAAAAGAGTATGTAAAGATAATACAGATATACAAACACATATACATCTACTATGAGCATAAATATCCATTTATCTTCACTGTTCATGCAGGGAGCTGGTGAATGATAAAGCTTTAAAGATTAAACATGATAAAAGATAGAAGCTGACCTATTTAATGCTTTGCACTAACGAATGTTAAAAAAGTAATCTGCTTTTATCAGGTAACAGCGCAGAGATCTAAGCAAAGTGTTTGGTACCTGCAGGTCGGTCTGGGTAGATAATATCCAGACAGATGAATTATCTAGCAGAAGAAACACTTCATGTGCAAACAGTCACACTGCAGCCTGAACTGATCCAAATCAGATTTTCTGGCGAGCTCGTTCACACTTCCAAATATGTGCGCCTTGTATGTGATCTCCTGTGAGAACTTCAAACGACCTGAAAGTGTCCCGCATGCGCAGTGCAGGGAGAAGAACGTCAATTGTCATTGTTCTCCCAACCGCCATAAAAAATTAAAAGTGCTCAGTGTTTGCAAAAGTAATCGTTTCTGATAATGGTGGAGCGAATCTTACAATTTTAAAGTTGTTGTCCGATGGGAGCCAGCACATTAACAAAATAATCCTCATTATACTCCGTCACGGCGGTTGTTTTTCTTCCCGCTCGCGCGTATCAGGACGCAGAATAGTGACGTTTGTCGAGTAACAATGACGTTCAAGTCGGCTGAGCACGACCTGGCTATACAGACTGAGGTCACGTGTGAAAAGATCAGATACGTTTCGGATTTAGGACCACATATCCACGTGGCCACTCAGAGACAGCCAGATCACATTAAGGGGGAAAACAATCGGATTTGGGCCACTTCAGACTGCAGTGTGCAGCCTATAGACTGCAAGATACCACGGTGACTGTAACAGTGCGCCAATAAACCTGATGAGCAACAGGTGTGGAAGGCATTGAGAGCAGAGGGTGAACATTGGGCCATTGGCTCCACCTAGAGGAGAGCATCAACATTATTTTGTCATGAGGGGTTTTTTTTTTTTACTTTTCTTGAACGGTACATGATAAAAATTTTACTTTATGTGATTGTCAAAGTTATCATTATTCCTGAGTTCCATAACTTGCTTTTGCTTTTACAAGATAGCAACCTGAGACTGGTGTCAATTTTGGGTCTGTGAGGGTTTGCACTGAAGCTGAATCTTTTTTATTAAATTTTTTAGTTGCAAGAAATTGTTTGGGATTGTTTGTTGAGTTCACAAACCAGTTTTGTTCAATCTTCGTCTGCTTCTCCTTGCACATGCCAGGAGAAGCACATCTGAGCCTAGAGGGCCCTTCATGTACAATCTTGAGTTTGATCAAATTAAAACTATTCAGCTATAGATTTGTCATTCTATTCATTAAATTGTAAAATGTGTAAAAAATGCTTATTTACCATTTTCATTCCTCTCTTGTCTTCTGTTTGGATTGTCCTAGGACGTCCCTTTGACCTCGCAGTGTTTGAGGACAGGCTGTGGATATCTGAGTGGGAGCACCAACAGATAAGGAGCGTCCACAAGCGGACAGGGCAGAAACTGCAGCGTATCCATGGCAGCTTGGTTCAGCCGGCATCAGTGGTGGTGGTGCATCCCCTCGCTAAGCCAGGTAGACAAAATAAACAATGGTAAATACAGTCTAAAAGGTTCTTGTCAGTTAATATATCATTAAGCCACTAGAGCACCTGAAATGTAAATTTTGGGTATTGAACGCCACATGAAAATCAGATTCTGTGTCTTGATGAACCATGAAAACAAAGTTAATGTGTTTAAAACTTCTCCTCAGGAGCAAATGTTTGTCTTCACCTGAATGGAGGTTGTGCTCAGAAGTGTGAAAGCAACCTGGGACTCTCACATTGCTCCTGTTTGCCTCACTTCACCCTGTCAGCTGATGGAAAAAGCTGCTTGTCTGTCAGTTCTTCAAATGTTACTGCAGGTAAAGTAGTTGAATTTATACTCAGATACGTTTGTGACCATCTAGTTTAAACTAAATGTTTGTTTCTCATTATTATACAGAATCTGGAGATGAAACCTCTGACTTAACATCTCTGAAAAACAAAACATTACATGAGGAGAGCATCATCCCACTGGTGGGTGATAATAGGAAGGCTGGTTTCATCTCAGATGGAGGTACTGAACCAGTTCTGTTCACAGAAAAGATGATTGCAGGTAATGGTGCCATTTAGCACCATTTCTTTTATTCTTATACTCCAGCAACCTTTTCAGCATCATTTTGTCACTCTGTGTTCCTCTCTCAGACCAGAATGACTGTTACTCGCTCCACTGTGCTGTGAACGCCAGGTGTGTGCTGGATGCTGAGAACCCTCGCTGTTTGTGTCAGGAAGGCTTTACAGGTGATGGACAGACATGTCTGGGTAAGGTTATGTTTATGCTGAAATTACAATTCTAAATAGAAATCTGGCAAAACTAGCAGTTATTAATGCATTTGATCTAGCTGGGGTTGAACCAGCTCAACCTGAAACTGTCTGATAGAACTGGCAACAAATGATCAAGCTGTAATCAAAAGCAGCAATAAACAAGTGGGTTTCCAGCCTTGATTTAAAGGAACTCAGTGTTACAACACTTTTGCAGTTTTCTGGAAGTTTGTTTCAGATTTCTGGTGCATAGAAGCTGAAAGCTACTTCTCCATGTTTGGTTTTGGTTCTGGGGATGCAGAGCAGAGCAGAACCAGAAGATCTGAGTGGCCTGGAAGATGTTGTTGATTTAACAAACAGTATTTGTTAAATCATTAACAAATTCTGTTGTTAGTGATTTATAAACTAACAGTATTTTAAAGTCTATTCTCTGAGCTAGAGGGAGCCAGTGTAGAACCGGTGGGATGTTCTCTATCTTCCTGGTTTTAGTCAGTACGGCAGCAGCATCTGGATCAGCTGCAGCTGAAGGACTGAATTTTTTAGTTAGACCTCTGAGGACGCTGTTGCAGTAATCAATGCGACTAAAGATAAACGCATGGATGAATTTCTCTAGATCGTGCTGAGACATTAGTCCTCTAATCCTGGAAATGTTCTTCTGGTAACAGAAGGCCGACTTTGTAACTGTCTTAATGTGGCTGTGAAGGTTCAGGTCAGAGTCCATCCTACACCCACATTTCAGGTCTGGTCACTGGTTTCTATCTGTAATAACTGAAGCTTTCTGCTGACTCTTTCCTCTTCAGGTCCAAAGATAACAGCTTCAGTTTTGTTTCTGTTCAGTTGGAGAAAGTTGTGGCACCTCTACACATGGAGCTAACTAAAATAACTTCCTTTAGCACTGGAGAGCACTTCTCTGAAGGCAACATCTCAACCCTCCATGGATGTGACCACCCGGCACCACAACAGCAACTCAGCAGAGAAATGCCCATCCAGCCATGATGCCTACTGTCTGTACCACGGAGTCTGTGTCTACTTCCCTGAGATAAAGTCCTATGCCTGCAAGTAAATACATCTCATGTCAGATCTCTCCATTTAATCCACAGGCTTAAACTCTGAATTTACTGAAAACTCCATGTTGTGCGCCATAGAACTTGCTCCATGTTAAACTATTAGGCAGAGAATACTTGGTTGTGGATGGTAATTGTGACATGAGCTGCTGTTTCAGACAACAAGCACCAGGTGTCACTGTTGTTCCACCATCAAGAACTTTAACGCCTGATTGTTAGACAAGAGTTGTATCTGTCCTTATTAGCAAAGAGAATCTGACACATTTTTAACATAATTAATCATAATAAATAATAAATCTTAAAACTCTTCCCTGGGTGACAGAACATCACTCAACTCAGACAGGAGGACAGAAATACTGACTCATTCCTGGGCTTCACCAGCATGCTAAACACAGAGCAGAGTTAAAAAATCACAGTCATATGAATGATCCCACAAAAAGTCTTTTAGCAGCATGAAATCCACGCTGGATATTTTAGGCGGGCTTGGGAGATCTGCATGGAGATTTAAAAGTGTAGCTTCAAATAGGAGACGTGGCATTTTTTTATATGGTATACGCAACATTTGCAAAGTTGCGTAAAGATTTTACCGCAATAATTTGGGTTATTTAGCCCGTTATAAGTGGAAAATTTAAATGTTATTCATTAATTTATATATTTCATAGATTCAAACTAAAAATTCTAAAAATAGAGCATATAACTAACTGCTGGTAAGACTGAAAAATGGTGCAGTCACTGTTGCTGTAGATCCATTTCTAAGTATCTGTCTTGTTACTAAACGTATCTGTTAAGCTGACATGTTGTACATAACAAGAAGAAATGGAACGATAACCAAAGAGGTAACATTAGCAATTCAATTAAATCAATTCAGCTTTACCAGCAGGAGTTTTTATAGAGGTTTGTAAGATCCAGCCTTTAAGCTGGACTTGCATTTGTGAGAACATAAAAAAATGTGGGTTAAATCAAAGAGAATAAAATAAAATGCTTGTCACACTTTCCAGAAATTTAGCTGTAAAAAAATGTGTCAAAACATTTAATATTTTCTTTACCCTCTTCAAATTTACATCTATAGTTGTTTGAGCTGTGTCTATCAGAAGGCTACATTTGTTTATTCTTTCCTTGCATATGAAGAACTCCCTGGTTTGCTCAAATATTGTTTGTGAAACAGCTTCATGTCTCTTGTAAAAATTTCTGAGTATTTAATTCAAAGATGAACTTTAGTTTGAACCTTTTCCTCTTGCTTGAATCTCAAGTTTAGAATTTTCTTGAATTGGAAAAAAAATCCTTATTTGTCTGTCTTCGTTGTGCAGCTGTGTCCGAGGCTACATAGGGGAGAGATGTCAGTTCAGTGACCTGGAATGGTTGGAGCTCCAGCAGGCTGAGAAGGAGAAGGAGAGGAATCTGGTCATTGGAGGATCCATGGTGGCGCTCATTTCCATAATTTCCATCACAGCCTGTATCACCTACTGTTTCCGGTGAGTTTCAGGTGACAGCTGGCAGTAGTGAAGGCTAGATGTAGGGTGATGCTTTAAAAGTTGAACAAGGCCGGTGGAAACAGACCTATAACCTTGTAAGTGAGTTTTCAGGGTTTACCACCACGGCTGTTAAAAACAACCCGAGACATGTTCAGTTGTGTAAAGAATGATCTGCCATTCTTTACAGTGCGTCAAACACAATGTGGTGTGAGCCATGTAGTGGCCTCTGTCAGACAGCAGGGGGTGTCGGGAAGCCAATCAAATGGTGAACAACTAACATGCAATCGTGCTTGTTTGAGTAAAGCCCAACTCTTCTGCTTTGTTTCCACCCGAGATGTTTTTAAGTAGCTGATTTGTTTTATTGTCGTTTTTCTGCTGGCTCTCTCCCTTATTTTGCTTCACAAAGCACCCCGCTCCCCAGCCCCACATGCTACAACATCCCAGTGTTTACACTCCTGCTTCCCCAGTGGAAGTGGCACGCTTTCAATTACATGGTTGGTTTAGCTTGTTCTACAGCAATTACACACAAAAATAGGTCATTCCTCGGCTACTAAATGGAGTCGGCGAGGTATGACCCCCGTGGAAACGCTACATGGTCGCCAATAGCGCTGCCTCAAATTGCCTTCTGCACTTGACTGAAAGCTTACTTGTGAAGTCTGTGAGCTTGCTGGGTTTGTTTCACCTGCAGCCACAAACAGTGAAGAAAGGTCATGTTTGAGAAGCAAGAAAATCAAAGTGAGTGAAGTGATGATTATCATCTCTGGCTAATTCCTAAAATCAAATGTCGTCATATATTATAGGTAATTGTAGCTTATAGTATAGGCTTCTGGGAAACTATGTAGTGGTTTTACTTTATCTTTTATTCTGGAGATCTAGGAGACTCGTCCTCAAACAAACCTCAGAGGATAATGTGAGTGAGATCAGTGTGACTGATGAGAGCATGTCTGAGACGACCACCACCAGCGTTCCTCGTGTAAGACCACTATCAATTGTTTTATTTGCACATGGTCACATTTTTACTTACACATTTAAATTTGTGCACATATATTTGAATAAATGTCCCTCACATTTGCAAAAAATATAACTTCTTACAGCCTTCAACAAGGCTCTGGAATAGACATTTGACCACTTTTATTTTCAGAACAGGTAGTTTATGGAAATTGTTTGGTATCCTGGCATGATAACTAACATTAAAACATAGTTCATCGTCTGCCTAATGTTAACCTCTCTTATCCAAACCAGTTTGGGTGTGTTTGAAATCATGGTGCTGCTGGGAGATTAACAAGGGGTCAAGGCAAGGCTTTCAAACCTCAGAGCCTGTACCAACTGTCAGGCATGGTGGTGATGGGATCATGCTGAGGGTCTGTATTACAGGTAGCTGTTCTGGCACAAAGTGGAAGAAACAACAAATGAGGAGCATTTCATCCAGATTCTCTAATTTCACCTCAAGTCAACAACTAGATGGTAAAACTTTGACTTACCTTTTGGTTTCAACAGGTCAGTACTCCCAAACACACCAGAACTGGTTCTGAACTGGATAAAACAGGCTAACATTCAGGATCTAGAAAGAATTCAATGTTGATTCAACTGAAAATTTGCGGACTGTACATGATTTTACTGTATATATATATAGATTTTTATAGATTTTAATATTAGTTCTGCTCTGTCCTTTATACTGCTGTAACAATGTAAATTTCCCCACTGTGGGATTAATAAAGGAATATCTTATCTTATCTTAAGGTTAGGAAATCAGCTGATTAAAATTGTCTCTGCTGTCTCTGCTAGAATCATGTTGTCAGCTACCAAAGCTTTTATGCAGCTTGCTAATACGTATAATATATGTATATATTTGAGCCTGTATGTACTATTTTAAACCTGGGTCAAAAATTTTGCATCAAATCTAAACTTATGCATCAAATTTATATTCATGGAAACAGAATAGAAAACATGGATCATTAAAAATCCTTATATGTGCACTTCTGCCCACATTAAACTGGATGTCAGAGATGTCCATTCAGCCATAAATCCAGTTCTATTCATTAACTTATTACCACCACAAGGAAATATAGCAAAAAATATCAAAATAAAAGCTTAAACATGTCTACTATATGCATCCACAGTTGATAACAGAAGATGGTGTGAACAAGGAGGCCATCCATCCAGATCCAAGGAGAGCTGCCTGCTCACCATGTGCTACAGGATCAGGTGCCAGAAAAATCCTTCAAGTTTTCTTTCACACTTTTCAAACCACCTGTAATGATACAAATATGTTTTCAGGCATCAAACCTATGTCTGAACAGCAGGCATCGATCTTCAAACATGACGAAGAATACAGGAATTTGAAGCTTCCAGACTCCACCACAGAGACCGCCCAGCCTGCCGCTCATTGCTTCAGTCCTTCACTATCAAACTTAAACACAGACAATTCTTCATCTGTCAAACCAGAAACACAGTAATACCCCCAGGCCACAGTCACCTCCTTCCTAGCTCAGAAGAACCCAAAACAAAGCTGGACCGCTCTGTAACATGTTTCTGTAAATGCAAAACTGTATTTAATTAACTGCTACCATGATAGAAACCAGAGCTCTCATAAAAAGTTAAACTTTAAAAGTAAAACTACTGAGCATCTGGGCATTGCTTTTCAGTGCTTGGTGGGTGCATCCAAATGGTCAGATAATTACTAACCTAAGTTTCAAGCATAGGGCAAAGTGTCCAGACCGCATCATTTATACATTTGTAATGCTTTACTGGGTCACTGATGTGATATTTGAGTCTCAGCTGAATCATTTTCCTAGAAAAGGCATACCAGTTTGGGATATTATTTGCAAAATTCTTAGTGTAAAATAATTATGGAAAACCTTATTGACAGTAATAAACTTTATGCTTCAGAACTGCCTACATCTATAAACCGGGAATTAATCAATCATGTGGAAATAATGACAATATTTTTTTATTTTATTGGTCATTTTCTCATTTTTGCAAGGTCAGACCATGAGAGGTGTGCTTCATGTATAATTTCCATTCAAAAGTAGAAATATGAAGGTAGACTCTATGAAGTCTGTTATTCCATCAGAACCAGGAAGACTGGATTTTATCCTGATTAACTCTCCGTTCCATGTGGTTTGCTATCAGGTCACACAACAGATATGATCTTTTTGTGAATGTCTGGCATTTACTGTATGTGATTATGTTAAACTTCAGATTTCCTCAAGCGCACAAGTCAGTAACTGTGACTCTTGCCAGCTTAATGTCCATTAGCATTTGCAAAAGAAAAAATAACATAGTTTGATTTTGTCCAATTTTTTTTCTTATTTTTTGATATTCAGTAAAAGTTAGAAAATTTCAAAATAAAAATGATCACTAAAACAAATGGCTTCATTGTTGAGTAAAGTTTAAGCTCTGAGAGTTTTCTCTTTTGAACACTTTTCATTCAGACCCTGGTGGATAAAAAAAAATCACCTGAACTTCTTACAATTAAATCCTAAAAATACAAAATCTGTTTACTATTTGAATTCACTTAAAATGGTTTTACCATTTAAACCATTTAAACAAGTTAAAGTCAACACAGCCAGCTATATACAACTAAGGTAGTGTGCTTGTAGGACTTTGCCACAATTAACAGTTATGCCTGTATATAAATAACATTACATCTATTAGAAGTATAAGGTTTATTTTTATAGGTGGCTCGATGGTTGGTCAGTTCTACTGAGATTTATGTTTTGAAAACTTCAAGTATTTCAAGTTTGGTTAGAAAAAAGAATCTTGTTGCTCCTTGGTTAAATCCAAACAGACTATTACAACTTTTTTTTTTAACAGAAAAAGGTAAAAGAAATGTAGAATGATCAATTTTATGTACATTGTGCTCAGTGATGACTATTGAATATTTTTGTTTTAGACATCAATAAACTTCATATTTCTATTTTATCAATAAATTGACTGACAAAAAAATCATGCCTGATGAAACTTCAACTCTACTGCAATATTTTCTTTGTGTAAAGGACGTAATTTTAATAATCTTTTCTTAATAACTGAAAGATTATTTTGAGCATTTATGAATTATTTTTGGTTTGTTACACTCCATCACTCTCTTCTTAAAGCTCAGCTGTGCTCCATCGATGATGCTTTTCTATCTCCCAGCAAATCTCCCGCAATAGTGCTGCTGGTGCCACTAGTGCCACCCTTCACCGCCACTCCATCTTTCCATTTCTGCCTCCATCTCTCTGACTCTTTCTCAAGGTTGACTGGGAATCGTTAATAGAAGGAACCACAGCCTCTTTGTTTCGGGGCGATGGCAGCAAACAAAGCACTTTAACTCAAAAACCATCAGTGGCCACATTGATATTGATTTTTGTGGCAAGACACTTATCTATATATTGGTCTCCATTAGTGCTAACAGATAGGTTAGAGCACCAATCCAAACAGAAGCAGATCAGCTGGCTCGTATATGAATCGAGCCTAGAGTCAATTTATCTTGTATTACTGCTCAATTGGGGCAACAGGGGGCAATAGAGTCACTGACACTATAAGTCACATGTGTCAAATTCAAGGCCCGCGGGCAACATGTGGCCTGCGATGTCATTTTATGTGGCCCCCCCAGCATTTTATAGGCCGATGATTGACTTAAAATAGGTTTTGAGCACAAATTGACTACAACCATTTACGGACTGAGTCAATAGATTTTGAACTGTTTATTTTTTTTAAACATTTTTAATTTTGAAGTGTTGATTTTAACGTAACGTGAACCCAGAAGGCTCCATTTGTTAAATCCGCTGGATGAGTTTCTCCCAGCGGTTTCTAATTATTCGCAGAGGCGGAGCCGCGTCTGCAGTGGTTAAGCAGCGGACTGCGCATGTT